ATAATCGGGGATGAAATTTTCATTTAGTAATAATTATTACATGATATAAATAGTTATTACTAAATAAACAGTGAAAAATTTCCATTGATTATTTAACGCAAAGTAAATAAAATGAGCAAGATTTATTATAAAATTAATAAATAAAATAATATTCAAACATAAATGAAATGTATTATTAGGATATAATATATAACATAAAATCATCACTATAATAAATAATGCCCTTCAATCATTCTTATACATTCCATCAACTTTAATTCACTATTCAACCACTCGCATAATTTTAACGAATCATCACTTCACATCATCTCTCTTTCACTTTTACATCAAATCAATTTTTATTATTTTATTTTATTTATTAATTTTGCATGCTCAGTGTTTGCTTAATTGAGAAAGTGAAAGTTTCTATTCTTCCAATAGTACAATAATAAAAAAAATTATATAGTACTATGACTATGTTTGGTAAAACTAGCTGATAATTAAGCATATAGCTTATTAGTAATTTTTTAGCTTATAACTTATAGCTTATGAATTATAGCTGAAAAACTAGCTTATATGATAAAAGTGTTTGGTAAAATTAGCTGATAAGCTAGCTGAAATAAAAAATTCAACTAGCTTATTTGAAAAGCTACCTAAAGAAGCTTATCAAATAAGTTCGAGCTTTTTAAAAAAGCTCGTCCTACCAAATGAGGCTTATTTGAATACAGGGAGCTTATAAGCTAACCAAATAAGCTATAAGTTAGCTTATTTGTCTACCAAACATAGTCTATATATAAAAGTCTATGATCTTGGTGCTAAAGTCAAAGTAAGTGGCAATTGTATGATCATCATACATTGAAATATATATTTTCAAATAGACTCCTGGAAAAATTGAACCATTTTCATAATATGATCAGAATTTAACATATAAAATTACAAAACGTGTAAAATGGATATATAAGATTACGAACCATAATTTTTTTTNAAACTCCACTTTTATACATAAGGAGTGATGTTAGTATGCCACAACATTCTTTTTTTCATTTTCTTAATTTACAACAGATACTAGTAAAACACCCATGTGTAACTGGTGCTTGCTAAAAATTATTCTTAAATTTTTATAATTAATGAGAAAAATTGTTCCAGAATTTAATTACTTTTTTACAAAAAAAAATATATTATTATATATTTTATAATGACACTTATTACTTGTGCGCTTACATATGTTATATTATAGTAATTTTCTAACTTATATCATATAACTACTTGACACATAAATATTTTAATTGATAAAGTTTTATTTTTTAATTAATATTAAAAATAATTTTATAATTGTTGTAAAGATACATATAATTTATTTTTTTTATACATACAATATGAATATTAAATCGAAGCTCATCAAGAGATGATTAATTTGATATATTGTATATGTAAAACTGATAAAAAAATACAAAAGTTATTAACTTTTACAATACATTTACATTTCAATGGTTATAATAAGAAATGATATTATCAATGCAATCAATACATGTAATATGACCATAAATAATCAACATATTTGTGGACAATCCGAACCCAATTATTTTTTGCTTGGAAGTAAATTAAAATCTACTCAAGTCAAATAATGAAGCATGTAATTTTGCCACATAGGATCCGGAAGCATGCGAGTCTGCCACTTAGGCTCAGCACGTTTTGAAATAATATATAGCGGATATCATATATCAATGACCACTTAAGCTCAGCACGTTTTGAAATAATATATAGGTGATATCATATATCAATGGGTTGATAATTTTGGTAGGCAATGAAGTCTTATTCTCAAAGAGAAACAAATAAACGAATGATAGGTACAAGAATACATGTGTAATGTTTTTATTATAACCGAGGGAAGAATGTGCGGTCCCATCAGATGAAGCGCATCATAAGCGGGTGAACCTAGGTGCATCTTGATGATATTTCACCATAAAACTAATTGGTGATGAGAGGAGTAGTCCACTAGGCTAAATACTAGACTTATTTTTCTTATAAAATCAATGTGAGACAACTCACAAATGATATTCTAACAATTTTAGAGAATATATAAATAGAATAAAGAGAGGCTATGGAATTTGGATTTTATGTGATGGTGGGTCGCCCGGCCAGCTCAATGAGCAGTACAGTAATTATTAATAACGACGGGTCAAAGGGTGGTCAAAGTGTGGCCGGTTTCATGATAATAATAACAAATAACATTAATACTCACCTTATCTCTAGGGTTTGTTTGATACTAGAAATAAGATAACGATTAACTTATTTAATATAAATTTTTTTAACGATCAAAAAAAAAAAAAAAAAAA